TCAGGAAGGGATTCCCCACACCCACACTCGCACACAATGTATTCTCCTTCCTCTGAAGCATCAGGGATGGCCGTGGCTGGAGATGGGACACTGGATGGGGTGGGCCAGAGCTCTGAGGTGGCACGGAGCATTCCCCCTCTCAGGTGCTTGGGTGGCTGGTGCTTGCTCAGGCGCAGGTCTAACTGATGGCCATCTGAGGGGTCAGGAAGGAGTTTTTCCCCTGGTCAGATTGGCAGGTGCCTTGGAGGGTTTTCACCTTCCTCTGCAGCATGTGGGTTATGTGCCAGAATAAGGGCACCTCGGTCTCGCCTGTTCTCTGCCTGTGGCACATCCTAGTCTAGGGCTGTAATGCTTTGTGGCTGTAGAGTTTAGGGCGCTGGGCGGGGTTGATGGCCTGTGATCTACAGGAGGTCAGATGAGATGAGCAGGTGGCCCCTTGGGGCTTTGAACTCTGTCAGCTGGAAGGTGCTAAAGAAGTTGGCGCTGCAGAGGGCTCCTAGCCGGGCCTTTGCCTGGGTCTTGCCCACTGCTCCTCCCCGTGGTCAAGCAGCCCAGGGAAAACACAGCTTCCTGGCTGTCCGCTCTTGCTCACTCCTACTGCTCATTGGTGAATGTTAATTTATGGCAGAAAATTCTATTGAACACGTGCATGAAAGAGTGAGAAGAGGCTGCGTCTGCTCAGCGTCTCCTTAGGACAGCAGGTGCGGGAGACCAGCTGGAGCTGAGAAGGCAAATCGTTAGGGGAAGGAAGTTTTAGTGCCAAGGACATTAACTCGCTCCCTAGAGCGACGAGAAGGGGGGAAGTCGATGGAGATTCGGCAGCAGAAGTCACCCAGGAGACCTGTTCATGCCAGACTCTTTGTAATCAGCTTGACCGAGTGTTAACTTTGCCTTCGAAAAATCATTTCTACTCACCCTCAGCCATGGTCTCTGCTCATCTGGCCAGGGGCTGGAAAGGCCTGTTCCAGCCCCGAGCCCAGTGGGGACCACTGTCCAGCAGGTAGCCGGACCCTGGTAGGAATCCACCCAGCTCCAAGGCAGCTGCTTGCATCATGCTGTTGAGTCATTGTGACATGTCATGACTCATCACAATGACATTGTGTCACTGCGACAGCCTCTCCTGGCCTTTTCAGGGAAGGGGAGGAAGCCACAGGTAGTGCCTTTGCTCCCCTCCCCAGAACGCAGAGGTCAGCACGCTCCTGCTTTGGGCAGACCGAGGGTCGATGCACCTCCTGCTACTAAGCCCCTGGAGCATCCGTCTCCTCCAGGAAGCTAGAATGACGCAAACAACCGTTCCATTGCCTGAAAACATGGGGGAGCGGTGTTGAAATTCACTTTCATTCCAGTGCACATCACCACTGAAATTTTTCTGACAATAAATAGATACAAGAACTGCTCCCCCCCTCTGCCCCCAGAACAACAGTCGCCCAGTGGCTGGAGCTCTCAGCTGGGGGCGAGGAGACCCAGCTTCCAGTCCTTGCTCCAGACTGGGCAGAGCAGGGCCTTGAACCTTGCTATCCCATATGCCCCACTAGAAGAGTCAGCCTTGCGCTCTGAACTCTCATTTGTGCGAAGTGAGACAGCTCCACCAGGAGACGCTGAGTGAAAAGCTGCTCCCCACCCATGTTGGGATTCCCTCTGCGATCTCTTCCCACTTGGCTTCCCAAGAACTCAGGTATCTTTGGCCTACAGTTGTTGATCAGACTCCAACATGGCTGCAGGGTCCATCACCACTCCCGAGTTGCATCAAAACCTTCTCCCTTTCTGTACAGCTCATCGCATTTATGATACATTGCGTCACACGGGTTTTGGCTGGGTTACGTTGGAGGAAGCAATCCCTGCCCAGCACAGGCTGTCCATGGTTTGACTTCCTCTTTAGCTCCTCGCCACATTCCTAACTTCCTTTTTATTTTAATCTCATTCACAGTAAATAGGTCACTGCGTGTTCTCCCTCCTATCTTAGCGGGCTCAGACATTGTGTCGTCTTAGCCTGCTGACCCATTTGCTTCTCTTATTTAGCACAAACGTTCTGGTTTCAACCTGATGATTGATTTACAACCCTAATTCTAGCTTCCAAAAAATGAGATCTCCCTCCCTCTGTTAAACCAGGCCACAGCTACACCCCACGCCCCTCCTACTTGCAGCAATAAGGTTGTGAGGTGTTGAAGAGCAGCTGGAGGAACACAAAGGTATGTTCCATTAGTTGCCTTAACACCTCTCTTCCTTGCTTTCGCAGTAGCGATGCTGTGTGCGGTGATCTTCACTCACCCATCCTAGTGATTTGGGGTATTCCTTTCCCAGTTCTTAGGACAGTATCTTCAACCCAGCCAGGGCTGCTTTCTTGCAGGAGGCGGCTCTTCGTGAAAACAGCCAGATGCCCAGCTGAACAGCTTTTGTTTGGATAGCATCTAGAGGAGCAGGCCCCTCAGTTGTGGACTAGGACTCCAGAGATTACTGCAGTACAAATACTAAAGAGGTGGTGCCGCGGTGGTGGTAGACTGCGCTTTCACTCCGCTAAGACTGCTTAGGAGCATCCTTTAAGCATCCACGCACGAGCGACTTTGTCCAAGGGGGTGGTGGGCATCCCTGAGAACCTTCAGGACTCCTGCTCTTTGATAAGCCAGTGCCACAGACCAGCACCTATTACTACAGGGGTAATCTTGGTCATTCTGAAACTGGTGTAGCCACATTCTGCTCTTCAACACAGCAACAGCTGGTGCAGTGAAAATCCTGAGCTTTATGGGTGGAGTTGTTCAGAGGCTCAGGCTAACTAGACTATGTCGGACAGGACTTCTGCTCTCCAACCAACCACTGCTTTGTAGAAGAGCCTAGATAGTGTAAACTGTGGTCACGCTCAGCTAAGCGGGCTGGAATGCTCTAGTACTGAACAAAAAGGGAGAAAACAGAACTCAACCAAAATGACATAATGGAGATCAAACTCCCTGCTGGCACCTTTGATGTTGTCCAGGTAGTTCTTAAGGCTAATAAGGGGGTCTGGGAGATTGAGACTCCCTGTGTCTTTGATTAACTACCTCAAACTGACTTTGAAAACCTTCAAAAGAAAAAATTCAGGCTATACTCACATTGTATGGAAAGTTTAGGGGTAGAGATAGCCTCCACTAGAGGACAAGAGCTTGAACTCTTAAATGCAACCTGAAGTGAGGCACTGCTGTAAGCTATCACAGACCACGTACATTACAGTTTCAACTGTAGAGAGAACTTGGTTGCCTGTGTAACCTTAGTTTGGCCACACCTGCTGGATACTTTTTAGGTGCAGGCTGTTTTTGCCCCAGAGGTGGTGTAGTCAGGCTAGTGAGAGGAAGATGAGCCATGTGTGGGGGCTATCAGGAATCTTATTTTAATCCTCCAAGCTCCAGCGTTTACACTAGTTGTTACTTGTAATGCCCATTGAATCAATCTGTGGCTAGACTGTTGGTTGCCAACAATGCCAAAAGCTATGCCAAGTGACAGACCTCAGCAAGCTACAGCTGGCCAGCAGTCTGGTCCTATGCCTGCTAATGCCATGGCAGTCTTTGCTACATCAGCAGCCACCCCTCTGGGGGCATGTCCTCCTTCTCTGGAGGTCTTGTCCCAAAGCAGTCATGTGCCCAGCTCTAGTCAAATGGGTGGTTCTGTTAAACCCGAGAGATGTAAGTGCCTCAAGTTCAATAAAGATATGGGACTGCAGTGGCACATAGACCACTTGAGGGACTAAGCGAGGCCTAGGATTTACACTACCATCTGTACCCCAGCTAGACTGCTCCCGAGATGGAACAAGTCATGGAAGTGCAGTAGGAAGGACAGAAGGTTAAATTTCAGGTCACTAGATGTGGCCCAAATGCCCTCCCAGAGTTTGCTGCAAGGCCTGCTACTGGAAGGGGAAGGTAGTGTAAAGTTAAACAGCATTACCCTAATCAGAGATCTCTGGGGCATGGGGAACACATGCCAGAGGGACTAGTGCTGACTGCAGATTACAGTCATTTCAAGACTGGCCTCAGGGTGTTACCTCCATGGCTAAAGCTAGGAGGGGCTAGTTAGAGGGCTCATGAGGAGCAGTGGCAGCAACTCCCCAAGACCTAGTTCATCTCAGAACCACTGATCTTGAGGAAGCCAATGGCTGGAGCTAATGAGGGTAAACTAGTCTCAAGAAGCTGGGGAGGGGATTGTTGGTAGGAGGGGAGAATCCACACCCTGCAGAGGAAGGCCCTCATGTGCACCAGCAACACAGGACAGCTTCTCCAAGAATGCTGGACATGCCCAGGAGGGAGAATCATCATTGACCTTCATGCCTGAGCATCTCACTCAGAACAAAACAAGCAGAGGCCTTTGTTTCAATGCAAGTACAGCTTTTATTGTGAGCAACATGTTCTTACCCGCTACAGGAGTCAGGGCCTTTAGTATTAGGCAGGAAGGGAATCCTATGTGAGCCATTATTCTAGTTCAGAAAGAGCAGCAGGCCTGGGCACCCTCTTAACAGCACTGATCTCTTAACAAAAAGTTTCCTTGGTTGAGTGGAGAGAACCCAAACTAGTCAGCTTGACTTGGTCAGTGGTTTGTTGTGGTGGCACTTGGAGAGAAAGCAGTTGCTTAAGTCTGGAGCAGCTTGTAGAACCTTTAACTGGACTAAGCCACATTTGCTTGGGATCGGCAGTTAATAAACATTTCATAGGAAATGACCAGTTGGGTCAGAAATCCTTGACATGGGAGCTGCCATCTTATTTAGCTCTTTACTGTGCTGCTGGAGAACTTGCAGGCCACTAAGACAGATTGAGAACGCAACATGTGCTCGACTGCCTACTGCCACCACCTGAATGAAGTCTAGAAGACAAGGTCAGGGTTGAAGCTGGTTGCTAAATAGAAGTGGTCTAGGCTTCAGAGGTGCTGGGCAATCAAATGCTCTGCAGACTCAGGCGGTTGCCTAGAGATGGCAAACTAGGCCCCCCCGCTTGAAAGCTGGGCCTTAGGTCCCCGTGGGGGGGGGGGGGGGGGGTCACCTGACTAGTCAGAGGGAATCAGTTTTGCTGGTAAGCCTCTGACCCAGCCCACAGGCAGGTTTGGGAGACAGCCACACCTGTGAGATGCAGGATAAGTTCCTCCTCCAAGTGTTTAGTGGGATAGAACAAACCTAAGCGAGGCAAGATGGATGCCAGGACTGAGGCACTTGTATCCAAACACCAAGTGCTGCTATCTAGATATGGAGCCAGGCTAGATATGTGACAGGAAGTGACAAGTGGCATGAGTTACCCAAACCCCCCATGAAGCTCTATGCTTAGGAGAGCCCCTTTAAGTCCTCAATCTGCAGGACACGACTCCATCTCCATTTCCTCCTGCTGCTTGCCTGATGGGGCAAAGGGTCCCACTAGCCAAGAAAGGGGGACATTATGCACCACATGATCCATCAGCTCATCCACCAGCTTGCGGGCCTTGGTCACTCGTTCACGGCTCTGGGCCAAGACGCTGCCAGTCAAGTCATGGAAGGAGCCGGCAGCGGAGAACGAAGTACGTAGTTCTTCAACATGGTGACGAACCAGTTGCACCTTGTCCTGGAGGTCAGTAGGGAGGCCTTGCAGGCTGGACACCAGAGTCAGGCAGGTGGTCTGCAGTTGCTGGGTGAGGCTGCGGGACATGGCCAGCGCCTGCTCCTCTACCTGCTGCAAACAAACAGGGGTCAAGTCAGAAGTCAGTCTGGACACCAGGCTTCCCCCACACCAAGTAGACTGGAGTCACCCTCTTGTGACCTACCTCTGGCTGCACAGAGCCCATCTCCTTACTCTGACTTGGCTGCCTCTGGCTCCACTCCAACCACATCTGGTGCAGCTTCTCCTGGCCATCACGGATCTTCTGATCAACGCCCTGCTTGGCGTGCTCCATCTGGAAGGGAAGAGACATCTGGGATCAGCACCAGGAAGGGACCTTGCCATGTTGGCCACTTAACCTGGCTTGGCACAAGCCATTGCATGGGAGTGACCGGAGGCGCTTCAGAGGAGTACAGGGGTGTGTGTGCATGGCCCACAGCTGTGTTCCTACCAGTTCTATGGTTTGGTGGAGCTGGGACAGAGCCTCTTGGGTGCTCTGCCGGGCATGCCTCAGCTTGCCCAGGGAGTGCTGGTAGGCTCGGTGGCGGAGCTTGGTGGACAGGGACCCCAGGCGCACGAAGTAACTCTGCTGCTGCTTCTGCTGCTCCACGGACGCCATGTCGAAGCCTTCCACAGAGGTGGCCAGTTTAGCTGGAAGCAGAGAGCGGAGGGTTAGTGGTGCCAGGCAGAGGAGATGGCAAGGGAGGTATGGGATATGCCTGCACCTCCTCTAGAGTTGGCAATAATGCCTCTACCTTGGTAACCTGCTTAGTGTACTAAGCTGCTGTGCCACTTCATCTCTATGTTCAGACAAAATATATCAACTGTATAAAAGTGAAGCACTCCTGAGGCCTCATTTGAAAACCTCAATCTGTGGAATAGCAGCAGCCTGTTGAGCTGTGTAGTTTCTACTGTAGGATTGTCCCTGAACAGTTGTAACTCCAGGCAGTGCCCATGCACCAGTTTCTCAGAGGTGGACACCAGCAAGGGGTTTAAAACACCCCCCCCCCCCCCCCACACACACACACACACTGCTTTCTCCAACAGGGGAGAAGGGGTGCATGAGACATTTATATCCTGTCACTGTTTGAGCCTCACATACCCAGGAGACTTTGCATCCCGTGGGGTGCAAATCCTCAGAGGGGAGAAAGGTATACTAGACAGTGACCTCCGGAGCAGTGCTTCACCTCCCATCTCTGCTCATGACCTGCAGGGACTTGCTGGTGACATTGAACTAAGGGGAGGGGGCCCAGGCTGGAAGGTGTTAGCTGGAGGCCCCCCCCCCCCAAAAAAAGTTTTTATTTCTCTTGTAACCAATTCTGACTTTTGTGCCTGGTCACTTAAAAAAAAAAAAAATCTATTGTATTGTTTCATCTTGACCATGGACAGTGGGTAGAGCCCCCCTTAGGGGAGGCTAGCCCCCCCAGCTCTGCCCCATCCCCTGCAATTGGATGCCCTGAGATCCCCTGCCCCTCCCCCATGGCCAGCTGAAGGGGGCTCATCGCGCTGGAGGAGCCCCAGGCCAGCCACAGCCATGCAGCCACCATGGGGGGAAAAGCAGCTTTTCATTAGGCTGCATGTGGGTTCTGGGGTGGCTGAGGCAGTGGTATTTGCTACTCAGCTTCCTGGGTTAATCCATAATCTCCCTGCACTCCAGGGAGCTTCCTGATGAACCCAGGACCCAAATAGCAAATACCGCTGCCTCAGCCACCCTGGAACCTGCCTGGGGCATAAAGCAAAAAGCTCCCCCCAAAACCCCCTGCAACTGGAGGTCTGGTGGCAGGGGAGGCTGAGCCCAGAATCTTATGGTGTTTGGATTTGAATGGGTGGGGGAAAACTTTTTGGGAACAAGGATGGTGCAACATTTCCCAGTGTTGGCATGACCAATGAGCAAGGAGCTCACACAGTCCAGGAAGATATGGAGCTGCACATGTCTGGGGAACAAGGCTGGGCTAAGAACTTGCAGGTGTTGCCCTGTTTGTAGTTCACGAGGGGCTGCGAGTGCACTCCCGTGGGGAGCTGGGGTGAATTTACATGCTGAAGGCAGCATGAGCAGACCAGGAGTGACCGTTTGGAAGGGTAAAAGGCACCACAGGCTAGAATTCAGGGGACACCACTGTTCTCAACAGGCTAGATTGAACCCTGGGACCGTCACAGGAAGACAATGCACTTGGATTACAGGCAGCAAGTATCCTTGTTTCACAGACTGGGGAGAGGCTCTGCCATGAAGAGGTTTGCTGACGGGCACCTGGGAGGCCAAGGGCAGAGTCAGGAATAGACCGACCAGCCCAATCCTACTCTAGTGCTCTAGCCCTTAGAGCTGGGGCAAGGTTCCCCATTTGAGTGACACCTCTACATAGGAGAGATTGGAACCTTGCATTGTTCAGGTGGTCACCAGGTAACAGGAGATGCCAAGAGATCCAGTAATTCACTCATCTCCCCCTTCCTCCCCCCCGATTCTATTAGAACCTACAAGCCTCAGAGGCAGAGATTGGTTTAGCCACCTGCTTAGATGGTTTCTTGGCCACAAATTGCTCTCCTAGTGGTTCTCCATGCTCAGAGTACCCTGTACAGAACAGGTCTCCCCTGAGGCTTACAGGTATTGAGGGAGGAGTTCTCCCCCCCCCCCCCCCCCCCCAAGCTATGCTTCCCACCTCACAGCAAACAGCATCTTCCAGGGAAGCTAGCAAGGTGCCCCAAGTACAGAGGTTGTTCATGCTATTATGGAGACTGCAGGAGTTTCTCCTAGGGCTTAACTGTGGGGACCTCAAGGCGCCTGATCAGGAAATTAAGCCCAACCTTGTAGGCTGGATGCTTCAACTGAAGCCATGAACCCAACTGCAGCTGGCATTAGCCAGACAGACCCAGCTGGTCCCTTCTCACCCCCTCCCCACCTGATGCTACCTCCTTCCATAGTGCGCAGGCAAAGAGCAGCTGCTGCTGCCGCCTTCTTACCTAGTTCCTCATCGGTCATAGGAAGGTAGTGATCCACCAGCTCTTCTGACTTGCCCAGCACAGCACCCATGCCGCTCACCACCATCTGGCCCACTGCTGAGCCCATGACTGTGTTCACACCACTGGTCACTGCTGATCTGGTCAGCTCCACGCTCCCCTGGACAGCCCCTTTGGTCATGTCCACCATCCCGGTCATGGTGTTGCTCATGGCATCTTTGGCACCAGTCACCGTGGCAGTCACCAGGTCTTTGGTATTGGAGATTATCTAGAGAGAGGTCAGATCAGATAAGGTCTCAAGCCAGTGTTAGAATATTGCAATATTGCAGGGGGGGGGGGGGGGGTGGGGGGTTTGCTTCCCTCCCCACTGTGCAAGGGGAAGGACACTAGGTTTCTCTACCCCCATCCCAAGTTTTAAAAATCTTCCTTAAGGGCCCATCTAGATTAGACACATTCGCATTGTGCAGCGCTACATCAGAGCAAGTGGCCCGTGTTCCATCAGCACAGCAGGACTGCCGTAAGGTTTGCACTAGGGGGGGGGTCAGGATCTCTGCATCGTGTAACAGCAGGGGCAGTAGTTCAGACCGGCCATGATCATCCCATGAGCAAATGGATGACTTCTGCCCCACCCTGAGTTGGGGCAGCAGGCACTAGTCAGCAGATCACGCCACGTTTTTCCTGCCCCCATGTAGCTCTGCTCTTTGTTAGGTTTTAGTGCTCATGGCTAAACTCTCCCGCTTGAGCCGAAGTCACTGCTCCCCTTGCTTCGAAGCCTTTGTAAAGGCAAAGAGGTTGTTACCTGGTCTGTTGGCTGTTGAAGGATTGGCAGCTTCTCCTCCAGCTTGTCCAGCCCCCTGCATGCGTACTCGTTTGCTGTGGAAACTGTTAAGAAAACCAGTTTAGTGTCTCACGTGACGAGCCCCTGCCGTTACAGCAAGTTCTGGGACAGCTCGAGTTGATGAAGCTAGAGAACCTGGTGCACGAGGACTCTGAAGGGGCGGCAGAAGTCAGAGGAAAGACTTTGCTCAGTAGGCACAAGAGTGAGCGGATTTGCAACAGCTTGGAATGGGTTGAGAACTGGACCAGCGCCATTATTATACTTGGAGGCCGCTGCTGTGGAGAACTGGCAGATGCGGGAATCCTACCCGTCTGCACAGCTCCGAGCTTAGGCAGCACAAGGTTGCTCCATGCTATGCTCCCCCGAAGCTGACACGCTTTCACCCAAGGGTTCTGTGGCCACTTCCACCTCCATAAACCCTCCAGGTGGAGCTTTCAGTGGCCTGGGGAGTGGGTTATGTTCCTCTAGGAAAGCAGGAGAGGTTCCTTAGCCAGCCAATGGCTTCTGATGTGGCCAGCCTGACTCCTCTCTCTGGCAGGGCATGAGGCTCTTTGCTTGGCACCCTGGGAAGGAGGGCAGAGCATGGTGCCCTTCACTTGGGCCATGCCACCCCCCTCCCCATGCATCCCCTCCCCAGTTACTCACTCTGCGGCTCGAGTTTGGACAGGATTGGCTGGGCACCACTAACTGCAGCCGCAGCCATGGTCTTCATGCCTTTCTCTGCCACGTCACAGACGGATTTGACATATGGGTAGCTCTCTTTGGTGGAGGTGTAGGCCGTGGAGACCATGTCGTAGGCAGAGCTGACCAAGGGCAGGTTGGCCACCCGGTTTGCTATGTTCTAGGGGAGAGAAGGCAGCAGAGTAGACAGGGTGAGGGCTACCAGGCAGTCTCCCCTTCCAAGCAGGGTCATGGACCCGGCCATTGGTAGCTGGGGTCTGTCAGCTGATCTGGCCTAGAGGGAGCCATTCTCAGAGGGTCATTTACTCTCACCACTTCCAGCTTGCCAAGTGTTTCCCCCCTCTAATGCATGATTAGGCAGATCCAGCATCTGCCATTTGTGAGACCAGGCCTAGTAAAGAACAAGCCCAGAAAGGGAAGAAAAAAGTCTTCACTAGAGCAGATCTACACTTAATTACTGCAGTGGCACAGTTGCTCACTGCAGTAAAGACACCAATATGGTGACAACCGCTTCTGCTGTCCACCTCCAGCAGAGGCAGTAGCCAGGTCAACAGGAGAAGCTAGACAGTGCTATCCACACATGGGGGTGGGTAGAACTGCATGGCTCAGGGCTGTGGATTTTTCCCCCACCCCCTTGAGCGACAGTTATAGCAAAGTAAATGTCTAGTGTAGATCTGGCCGCATCGTACCCCTCCCAGCTCCAGAAACCCAGGAGTGGGGAGTGCTGCCTGAGTGGGAAGCAGACAAGCCGGAGATCAACAGGAGAAAGTGGCACCAATAAAACTGAAGTGACTCTATAGTTAAGCCAATGCAACCTGTTGTGTGGGCACATGCAGAGAGAGGGTTACTTTGATTTACATTAAGCCAATAAAGAATAATTTCTATTAGATGAAGGCACTTAGACCAAGGGAGTAGCCACATACAGCTTCATGCTAGTTTAGCTACAGTGGTTTATGTTTACACCCAAAGTTATACCAGTGCAATACTATTCAGAGAACATATAGAATATCAGGGTTGGAAGGGACCTCAGGAGGTCATCTAGTCCAACCCCCTGGTCAAAGCAGGGCCAGTCCCCAGACAGATTTTTGCCCCAGATCCCTAAATGGCCCCCTCAAGGATTGAGCTCACAACCCTGAGTTTAGCAGGCCAATGCTCAAGCCACTGAGCTATCCCTCCTTAGCCGGCTTATTGTGGTCACCACTGACTTCTAGGCGAAGGGGCCCAGCACCAGTTTCCTAGCAGAGGCCAGTAGCCCACCACAAAGAGACCCTACAGCCCACGCATGTACCTACCTCCTGCTCCTCATCCTTTGGGGAAGCAGCAGCACTGGGGTCATTAGAAGCCATGGTGGAATCTGGTGAAACTGATTAGAAGGGATATAGAAACTCACTCATTAATCTGCCAGCGAGGAAGATAAGGCTTGAGTAAATTCTAGGGCCATAAAGAGGGCTCAGAGGTCAGCAGGGAGAGCTCACGCCATTGTGTTGGCCCCTGGGAGGTTCAGCAGCACAATGCATTGAGTAACATCACTGCAGATCCCCTGGGCCTGGAGGCAGCACGGGCACGATTTCACTTACCCGCCCCAGACCTTCCAGTCTGGATTGCAAAACGAGCTGCTGCCAAGGCCCCTGCTGCTATAAGTAACAGCGGCCTTCGCCCCAGACAGCTCAGTGCGGTTTCGACACCTCCTGCTTTGCTAGGATTGTGTCACCACTTTCAGTTGCCAGCCCCTAACTGGAGTCAGGGTCACTGCTCAGAGCAGCACCAGGGGTAGTCAGTGGAGGAGCATTAGAGGAATGCTCAGCTCACACCATAACCCACAGTTCCCCATAAGGGGAGCGGGGGGGGGGGGGAAGCCAGCCCCACCACACCTCACAGCCATTTGATTGGGGTTGGAACAGTGCTCACAACAGCTGGTTATGCCCCACTCCCATCTCCAGAGCAGAGCTGGAGACAGATCCCTGAAGGAGCTGAACGCAGCCACTGGGGGAAGGAAGCCACAAGGACAGTCATGGTAGTAGCATTACCAGCCTCCAAGCACTCCAACAAGCCATGAGTCAGACTCAGCCATCACGAGACACAATTGGCTCCAAACAGCAGGCAAAGAGACTCCTTTGGGATTCATATTCAGGTTTTTCCCCTCCTCTAGCCAGGACTTGGGAGGGCTAAAAGCTGAACGTCTCAAAGCTGAAACCCCAGAGCCCTAACACAAAACCCCCACTAACTATTGAGTATGTTGGGAGTTCACACGACCATGGGGCAGCAGTTTCTCTGCCATTCAGAGTAGGTTGATTTGAACCCTCCTGGCAGGACATGCCTGTTACGGGGTGAAGGAGTTTATCTAAGCCTACAGCTGAGACTTAGCATTTTAGTTAGTTATGAGACTCAACCTTTACCCTAAGGAAAAGGGAGGGGGGGGGGAAGAAGAGAAGAGAAAAACTAGCACTTAAAATAAGTCTCCTCTGTGCTAGGCCATCAGCTACACAACCCAGCAAGTCAGTCCCTTAGCATCACTGACTTGCCAGGCAGTTTGCCTGGCATGACAAGAAAAGAAGAGAGCTAAAGCAGTCAGAGTCCATTTGCCAAGCTCTTATCAGGGAGCAAACAAGCTTAGAGGTTGACACACTCAAATTGCATTTAATTATAACTTGGAAAGCCACCCCCATAGAAAGGCTAAGAACATGGCAAGCCCTTACCTGTCTCTTCCACAACTCCAGACTAGATGCTGCATAAACCCTGAGCCCTGCCCAGCCTTTATATACCAGCGCTGAGACCCGCCCAGCACAGGAGGGGTAGCTCAGGGAGGCAACCAGACCCACCCACCCTGATTGAGGAGGGCTGGCCTGGCATGTGGGTGGGGATCACGAGCAAGTTGCATTGGAGATGGATCCTCCTCGGTCACATGTGAGTCCACTCAAGCCCAGGTTTGGAGACTTAAGTCCCGCCCTCCTTGGTTGCTGGGGGGAGGAAAGAAGAAGGATCAGACCTTGGTCTTTGGTGTAGAAAGTGAGCGTGTCATTACAGCTTCTGCGGCTGGTCTGTTTTAGAGGGTGATGGCTATCTAGGATTTATGGGAGCTCCGGTGCTGTCATAGAAGGAGTAGACAATACAGAGGCCTGTTCCCCACCCCGCAGACCTCCCGGTGCTGCTAAATAGCTCTAGAAACAATTGTATGTGCCCTGGTACCCTTGTGGGTCCCACCTTGTCTCTATAGTAATAATCAGTGTGTCTAGAGTCTTTCATCTCACAGTGCTTTACAAATACAAATTAACCCTCCTGGGAGATAGGCCAGAGTTGCCATGATCATATTACATGGGGGGGGGAAACTGAGGCAGAGAGGGGGGTGTGACTTGCCTCGAGGTCAGAGGGTGGAAAACAAGGGAGAAGGCCTGAATCTTTGGGTTCCCTGTTCTAACCACTAGAGCCTAGCGCTTTGATGGCTCCCTAGGCCAGTGTTTCTCAGTGACCGGTCTGTGGGCCAGCGCTGGTCCCTGAGATCGCCCTGACCCGGTTTGGAAAGGCAGCAAGCCGGTTCCTGGTATGGAAAAGGTTGAGGAACGCTGCCCAAGGGGACCCTGGTAGTGCTGGAGGGGGAGTGGCCTGTCCAGTACCCCTGCTTCGAGGCTTGGGCAGGGCGGCACCAGGGGGCTGGGATGGGGCTTTGCTCTCCTCTCCGTCTGGCAGCAGTGGTGGGTGCTGCAGACCCACACGGAGCTTATCGAATGGGGCACCTCTGACTCCTTGGCTGG